GTCCGAAAACCCTAGGGTTAAACTCTAACCCTAACATGTCACCCATTGAGCATGTTTGGGATGATCTGGTTCGGCGTATACGACAGCGTGTTCCATTTCCTGCCAATATACAGCAACTTCGCACAGCCATTGAAGAAGAGTGGACCAACATTCCACAGGCCACAATCAACCTGATCGACTCTATGCGAAGGAGATGGGTGACATGTTAGGGTTAGGGTTTAACCCTAGGGTTTTCGGACCCCCCCAGAACCCCCCAATAAAGCAAAACTGCACGTTTCAGAGTGGCCTTTTATTGTGGCCAGCCTAAGGCACACCTGTGCAATAATCATGCTGTCTAATCAGCATATTGATATGCCACACCTGTGAGGTGGGATGGATTATCTCGGCAAAGGAGAAGTGCTCACTATCACAGATTTTTTTCAGATTTGTGAACAGAGAGAAATGGTTATTTTGTGTATATAGAAAAGGTTTTAGATCTTTGAGTTCATCTCATGAAAAATGGGAGCAAAAACAAAAGTGTTGCATTTATATTTTTGTTCAGTGTATATTCTTTCAACTCAAGCTGCCTTAATGACCTTCGGTTAAAAAACAAAACATTGACCCTTTAACTTATTTTGTATAGACGGAGATAAAGGTATTTTGTATGGCTGACAAGGTCATGAAACATGATTACATTTTCCATACCGCACTACAACTCAAGTTTGCTTTTTAAGCTTTTGCTATACAAGTAAATAAACTCTTTTGTATTCATGTCATCAGACCTTTATTTAATTCTGTCAGAATCAAAATCATTTGTTTATATTCAGTCAATTGCCTGTTTATTGTACACGTCACCTCAAAATCCTAATTCTCAAGGGTTAAAGAAATTGTTTTTCTTTGGATTTATACAAATATTCCTTCTGCCGGTCGTTCTTTAGACCAATACATTCTCAGAATGATGTTTGTCTTTAAGTCATGTATAACAATCTACACATTAGCAAGACACATTTACTTAGAAACAAGGACTAGTTGGTTTAATCACTAGGCCAAAGCCAGTCTCTGCATTGTCATAAGATTTTTTGGGAAAAATTAATAAGTTTGCCTTTTAATTCAGTGCACATATGACAGGTATTTTGGATAATTTGAAAAATGCCATAATGGTCCTTTAGAATAATTTGTACTCAATCACTGTTCATATTATAGTCACACTTGGTCCAGATTATATTTCTTTATTATAGTTTATGTTCAGTTACAATTTCAAAATGTCATTCATCTAGTAGGACAAGGTCAGTAAGAAATATAACAAGTGTTAGTAAAGAGGAAGTACAGTTTGTACCTTTTCCGACTACACAGCAGCCAGTAAGACAAGTATGCACTTCAGTGGAATGTGATTCAGCGTTAATCACACAAATATCAATCGCCTTGTTGCACATCCACATTTGTTCATGTTGGCAGGTCACAGACAAAAATCAGCAGTTCAAGATGTGCAAGAGCAGCAGAGTCTTGTGAACTAGTGAACGTGGTTAAAACAAACACAATGAGGAATGAATAAAACGAGATCTTACGAGAATCATTTATTATCACTGGTTTTTACTCAAGCTAAATCCCTTTAAAATCAAACAATCAATTGGTGAAGAGGTACTTCTGCTTGTTTAGCTCACAATCTTAACTGGGAACCGGATGCAGAACAGGTCTTTGTTGTTGTCGTCTCTCAGTTCCCACTCCACAACCAGCTTTATCTAAAGACAGAGTGCAAGCATGATCAGTGAACATAGTGTGCTTCGTTTCTTACATTTAAAAAAAAGTTTTGAGGAAGTGAAAGAGAACTAAAAATGGAAATGTTTTTTAGTTATTAAAAAAGGAACAAAATTGTTGCCATTGTAACATGTACTACTTACTGAAGGATACTGAGTCTTCACAGGAAGCAAGTTCACATAGTTATACTTATGCTGCTGCTGGATTGGACACACGATGCCAGACTTGCAACCATCTTCAATGGGAATGGGGAATGGGATGGGAACTCCAGCAATGATACCGTGAACCAATGCTGTGCTTGTTTGGCTCAACACATCTGTAGATTAAAAAAACACAAAAGTGAGGTCAAACGTTTAACAATATGCATTTATGTTCTGGATGTTTAAAAGTTAAGGCACCCTTACCACTGTTGAATGTCACATTGACACCGTAGGACACTCCTTTGTGTAGTTCACATGGCTGATTGGGACAAGGGGTAATGTCCACTGTGACTACTTTGCCAGTAGTTGAGCCTGAAGAGAAAAATGGGGAAGGATGTGATCTTTTATAGAACACATTATTAAAAAAAAGAAGTTGACTTTCAAAAAGGAAAGATTAATGATAAAAAAAGAACCAACTGGTTGCTTCATGCTTCATGAGCCAATTCTACATTTTGTTTAAAAAAAAAAAAAAAAAAATCCCAAATTGGGATCAATAAAGTTCCATCTTATCTTATAAGTGGAGTTAATTGTTGTGACATTACCATTTGAAATATAACAAATGGTGTTCAGAAGAGGAAATGATATATGTGGGACCCACTTTATTTGGACCCAGACATGTAGTAGCGAAACAGTCAAGTAAAAAAAAAAAATCTAATCAAACTCATAAAGAAAGTTGTTAAGCAATCCAACGCTAAGGGGTGTAGGTTGGACAAAACAGCTTGAATAAGTTACCTTTGTGGTCTAGTAAACTTTTGGTATCAGTTCAGAATCGTTCAAAAATATAATTTACAAGTAAACAGATTGCTTCTCTCCCTATTGGATTCAGTTCCATGTGTTTACCTCTTTAGAATTATTTACAGAGCATTTGAACATCAATAAAGTGGCGTTGGTTAAGTTAAGTAAATCTTACCGCAGTCAAGGAATTTCACCGGCTCCGCACAGGTGAATCCCATCAAGAAGAACAACACGATGATACCAGCCCGGACGTCCATGCTTATTTCTTTCCGTGAGACCCTAAAACAAGGAAATATAGCACTACTCAATAGAGAAGTAAATTACAGTGAACCATTCTGTAGTAGTCAGCAGAAAGTGTTTAATCACATGACTCAAGTGTTTGTTCCCCCAAATGTCCAGAAAGTAGCAGTGATTATAAAGTTCGACACAAAGAAGACATACTCTTTGACTACCTGGCATAATGACATAAAAAACAAAGATTATTATAGTTATAACATAGGAAGTTAAAAATCAACACACTGTACCTTTGTAGAGCTTCTTACAGTGTCCAAGTGAAGCCGAAAACTGCCTGGCACCTTTTTATTTCCGTGTATCAGGAGATTGCTTAACGCCTACTTATCGGAAGTGGGTATTTATTTGCCCGCAGTTTAGCCTGTCAGAAATCCTCTCAGGCTAAAAAAAAGAGATATATCCAGATATAACCCTTAAGTAGTACATTAACTAATTTTTCTGTAAACTAAAACCTCAATTTCAATATGTGGTTGGTACCTCTTGAAGAGGGTTGCATATGTTTTGGGGGAACTGTTCCTTAGAGGCAAAAATTAAGGTATCAAAAACCTATGGGGCCCTTACCCAAATACTGACGAATCAAATGCCTATATTGCACTGATCTGGGCGTTTCTATTTGACAGACAACAATTTCCGCCAATGAAAGCGGGATCTTCCTCTACTTGACGGTTGAGGGTGGAACTTAGTCACATTTGTTATGGAAGATGTTATTCGTTGGGGCTATGATAAATGCGTCAAAAGTATTAAGCCTTGCTAGGTAACGTTAATCTGTCTTTTATCGTACAAATAATTTGTTATCATAACCTACAAACAATCTCCTTGGGGGAAGGATAAACAACAGTGTGTTAACGTTTTACTAGGTAGTTAGCAAGCTAGCCCGTAACACGCCACCGTTAGTTAGCTAGCACGTTCTAGGGGTTGCTATTTCCTTCTGCCGTGTTGCTGTCTGATGTTTACGTTACAATGTTTTACAGGGCTTCAACTATTCTAAGCAACATCAATGTGAGCCAACAGTTACACCGACTTCCCCTGAGCCCCCAGCCAGCTCTTTACACAGTTGGGCTTCAGCGCTTTAGCAGCGCCTCGACCCAGGAGCAGGCTGCTGTCTCAGCTCCATCTGAAGTACGACTCACTGAGTCATGTGTGAAGGTCAGCAGATACCCATGATTAAGCATCATACTGTTTGCATGTCTCTAAATAACTTAATGATACGTTTGCAGATTTAATAAAGCTGGTTCTTTACAAGATTCTATTTGTCCACATCAGAGCCAGTGTTGACAATGGAAGAGCTACAATATCACCGCTACGTGTTACTGCGTAGGGAATATGGGCTTTAAAGTATAGAGTTATTATATATCTGAGACTTTTGACTGTGAGTGCACAAATGTATTTGGATTCTGACTTACTGAGGTGCTAATTGTTTCTTGTCAAAGTTGTTGATATCTGAAACCAGTTATGGACACTCCAGCATAACCTTTTGTGGTATTCGACATTGCGATGCTGCTACTGTAATTGAATGTGTTGGGTTGTTATTTTACATTGTACATGCCATTAACCATGCTCATGTCCCTCCTTTAATCCAGAGACTAGAGGAAATCATGGACAAGGGTGAGTTTCTGAGAATCCATGTAGAGGGGGGAGGCTGCTCCGGGTTCCAGTACAAGTTTTCTGTTGATAGTAACAGGAACGAAGATGACAGGTAAATGGCCACTTGGAAGCTATTGTTTCACACTCATTGTTTCCTGATTGTTTATTAACCCCTTCAACTCTGTGTTTCCATCTGCATCCAGAGTGTTTGAGCAGGGAGGAGTGGGCATTATCGTGGATCAGGACAGCCTGGAGTTTGTGAAAGGAGCCACTGTGGACTTCAGCCAGGAGCTCATCCGCGCCACCTTCCTCGTGCTCAAGAACCCTCAAGCGGATCATGGCTGCTCCTGTGGAAGCTCCTTCTCTGTCAAACTATGACCCTGCTTGCTTATGTCAGTGTTACTTAACACCCCGGTTCACCAGTTTATTAGGACTGTGTACAAAACACAGTAACACATTATAGACACGACTCGATTTAATGCACTCGTACTTCTGGTTTTGTAGTTGTGAAACTACTTGAACTGAATGAAAGGTATCAATTAATCATTATGCTATCATGCAGAGAGTGACAGTCAATGCTAATTGTTATCTGAGTACAATATACTCAAATGTAATCTGTCATTCCTGTCATGTATTCAAACGAAACAAAGACCCTGTTAAAGTGTTTTAGTATACAGTGCTAAGGTTCGCCTCTCTGTGTAAAATATGTAAATAGACCATATATTGATTGCAAAGAGCTATAATATATTTGTTTTGTCTAAAATAAAACTGAGTGAAACTACAATATTTCTTCAGTCAATTTCAATAAATCCAGATTCATTTCATCATTGTTAGTGAATTCATATCACTCGAGGTCATGGTTGCTTTTTTATTTTTATTAAAGTGGAATTTAAGAAACATCTCACAAAAAATATACAAAAAGAATATATACAAATGATATTTACACTGGTATAATGTAAATCAAAATATGCAGCAACAACTTTTTGTATAGTTAAATGTTTTGCACTTTTCATATTTTCTCTGATAAAACATTCCATTTAGGTAATATATCTGACCACACAAAACATTTACTTACTGTTTTAAAAAGTCACACTGTTCATAGTCATGAAAATGCGACAATTATACGTCATAGCAGCACACTGAAAAGTGAGAAAGAGTTGCAACCGTGTATTGAAACATCAATTTACAGCTGTTCTTTTTTTTTGTTTTCTGAGGAATTTGGTTCGGACAGATTGTCTTCCAGTAAGCCATGCACACCCACTAACCACAGACAAATCCAACAAGTATGCGCACGTTTTTACATGTCATGAGGGGAACACTGCCGAGGGAGCTTTGAGGTCAACCAGTCAACAACACAACCACGTAAACAAACCATAAATGAACCATGAGGGTTAACACAGTGACCAGGTCAGGTGTACAGTGCATAGTATGCTTTGGCATGCTGACATCCAGAACATAACAGTGGATGTTACATTCAGGAGGAAGGCCACAGGATTTGCAATCACCAGTAAAAATAGAACAAACAAACGACTACATGATCCAAAAGTAAATCCAACGTAATATAAAAAAGAAACAAACCCTCATAAATTGAACTCTCAGATTAAGGCTAATTCAGTTTGCTACATGTTTTAAAAAATGGCATCGTCAGTAACACAATTGAATAGGCCCGCCAAATGGCAAAACTGATACACAGATGCACTCATTCTTTCCAAACAAAAAAGCTATCACTAAAATGATATGCACATACTGTTTAAGAGAGATGTTTGTCTTTTCTTTTTTAAGGATGATGTGATGTTGTGAGCGCTGGGCTGTATGCCCTCCGCCTGTGTTCACAATCAGGACTAATGCTGTGACAAAAATGAGCCTTTCACATTAATGCATGCACCGAGATTTGAGGCAGTAAGTCTGATCACCACTCATTTACAAGCTGCCAGGTCTGTCCTCCTCCTTCTCTTTGTTGAAATGTATCTGTTAGTGGGATTTTTTTTCTCTGGAGATTTTGGTGAGACTTTCTCTTCAGGATGTTCCTCAGTGAGGGGCATGGACACACCTCCACACAAAGAGGCTGGACAGGACGCGGAGGAAATAGTATTTGTTTAGTATTTGATTGTCATATGATTTGTAAACTGTAGTGTTGTTTTGAGCTTCAGAATTACCTTCTGTCATCTCCGCCGGCGCTGACCACGTAGCGATCTCCATTTGTGAAGCGAACATTAGTCAAGTGAGCAGAATGGCCCATAAAGCGTTTGTGTTTGGCCTGAAAACAAATCACATACACGTCATTCAGGTCGAAACTAGAGTCAAAAACAAGTGGCTTTGTTGTAAGGCATTGTCATGTTATACTTCAAACAGACACATTATGTACTCTATATTAGTGAGTCACAGTAAAACGTGATACATAGTTATCATGTAGTCAGATAAGGCAGAATAATCACACAGTCACAGGTTAAAATATTTGTAAAAATAAATGTGAAGCCAGTTTTCCATAAACATTTATTATGTTCTAGTCCAGTGCTGGTACTAATTTGAAAAAGGGTTGTATGAAGTGCATGAAAATCTCAGCTTTTTAAAAAACGATGGTTTTTAATTATTATGTTTATAAAAAAAGTGAGATGATCCTGGTTAAAGTTGGTGCAGTAGACGTGTTTCATTAAGACTTTTCTCTCGGTGTTTCCAGGCTTCATGGCATCAAAGTCTGAATTTTTTTCAATTTTGAAATATTTATCATCAGACAAATGGCATATTGTAAACATTAATGTCATAATACATCAATGGCAAAACGACAGGCAGTAATAATAATATGATGCAATCATACTTACAAACTTCTCTGGACATGGAAAGTCTAACAGCTTCACCATTCCAAAGTCATCGCCTGTGACGATGTTAAGGCCCGAGTGGGACACGCAGGCACACGTGACGTCCGCTTTGTCAGTGTTGCGGGACCAGATCCCTACCACCTCATCCCCAAGGACACTGCATACAGAAAGGGAGAGACATTTCATTTTTGGCAATTAGGTTGTTTCTAAGTGCAAGTGAAGTGGAGATATTTGTCTCAGAGTATGAGAAAAAACTCATTTTGAGAAAATGGCATTTAAACATGTTTATGAAAAATTCCATACATTTTGTAAGACCACTGTGGATAGGAGAGAATGTTTAACCTATAGATATTACCATGAAATCCAGTTGATTACTTAAATTACCGGTAAGACAATTCTTTTTAGGTTATCAAATATGCATGTGATGCCTTATCTATTGCTAACATTTGGTGAATTCAGGAGCAATCCTAGAGACACAAACAGAAACATTGCAGTAAAGCTAACACCTAAATGTGTATTTTGGATTTCTTTCCACTACTGTAGTCTGAAGGTAGATTTTTAATTGAAGCCAAATAGACCAAAAAAAAGAATCTAAAACTGGACCGTTACATGAAAAAACCATTATGTTTTTGCCTGTTGTGTCTCTCACCTTGTCCAGGTGGCCCAGGTAATCCTGTCGATTTGCGACTGCTCTGTGACCTGCTTCCCGGATGGCACCTCGTACGCCAGTCGTTTATAAGAACCTGTGGAGATCTGTTTCAAAGCAGGACAGGTTAGGGAGCATACACCCAGCATCTGTGGAGACAAACATGCCCTGTCATGCAAGTTAACGAACCCTCCCACGGTTTATACCTGGACGTAGCAACTGTCAGCAGAGAAGTCCATCTGCATCACGAAGCTGGGGATGTCCCTGCAGCAGTTGATACGGTTCAGCTGCGGGCCG